CCGTGGCCCGCAGCCCGCATTCCCTGCTCCGTTACGGTGTCAGCCCCCCTGTCCAGTCTTACTCAGGTTTATATGCCAAGCGGAAAGGTAAGGGCAACAAGGGCCACGTGGCCCAAGTGCATGACAATGCATTTTTGGAGTGCGGTTTGCACCTGCAGAGGAACAGATCCGAAGGGCCGAAGGGTCCACTGGCGTGGTGGGACCTTTTCCAGGCGTGGCTCGCTACACTCCCCGTGCAGAGTTCAGCGGGCCAACTGTCGACGGTAACCTGTACGGCCGTCAGACGGCCGGGTCTGTCTATCAGCTAGTTCGTAGAGGGCCGCATGCATGAGATCTCCAACAAGGCGTGAAAGACCTGTGCGTGTACTTAAACCGCCGGTACGGGTTCATCCTTTTGCACCACAAACGAGTGGCAGGCCCGAAAGCAGCCGTGCTAAAAGTTCACTGAGGTGGACGTGCCAACAGCGGCGGAGGAGCAAGGCCATGCATGCAGACAATGCTTCGAGACGATGATGATTGCTCCCCAAAACCAAGGGGCCGTTGCTAGCAAGCCGCTCGACCTGACCAGTGTCGAGGAGCTCTTTGCGGGTGACACCGCGATGTTCCACAGCGCGGTGGGTTATATAGTGCTAGCTATTTATCGGCAGACCGAACGGACCTGCAATTCGCCGTCAAAAACCCGGCAAGACGTATGGAGTTTCCTCGTGCATGCGACTGGGTCGCCACAAAGACGCTCGCCTGCTGCCGACCGTTTCTGGACCAAAAGACGCCTCGAGGTGTACTGTGATTCGGATTGGGCAGGATGGTCGGAGACACGCAGATCAACAGAGGACATTGTCGCAACCGTTGGAGGCGCTGTCATGCAACGCGCCTGCCACATGCAAGCGGGCTTACCGGCCACTCCGTCCAAAGACGCGGAAATCCGAAGAATTTAGCACGCAGCAAGAAGCTGCGTTCCTGTGTGTACTCGTGGAGCGGGAGTTTGCCCTGGGCTGTGGCACAGCACATTTGGGCAGATTCCGCAGCATCGATCGGATTTGCGAACGTTGAACATGATCGGCCTGGTTCAAGGTTCAAGACCTTGGGGGTTGCCGAGTTCTATGTTCAAGCTTCGCACAAAGCTGTTCGAACTTCGAAAAGTAAAGAGTGCCAACTGTGTGACCAAACACCAAAAGTCTGGTCCAGAGGTGCGGGCAGCCCTGCCTTCCATCGGCATGGTCAACGGTGGGTGCCATCAAGCAGGTACCATACGGCCAACATGACCATGCTGGTCACAATCGTGGCGCAACAGATTCAGCCCGCGAATGTTCAACCTGAAGCACCTTGCGTATTCTAAGTCTTCGCGGGCTTCGCAATTTTTGGGCTTCCTAGCCTTTCTGTGGATGTCGTGGACTTGGCCCACCTCAGCCAGGAGAAGGGCTGCTCAGCATACCTTTCGAAAAGTCTGAGGACGACCGAGCTCGTCGTAGAGCACGTGCTGTGAAAACAGCCCTTTTGGAGGAGCCATATCTACGGAAGCGAAAAAAGCGACAAGGTCCATCTTTTTACTAATTGCAATGGACCTTCGTCCGTGCCGAAGCAGATCCTAACAGTGCACAATTGCCAGTGTGTTCGCGACGAGTTCGCCGGCCCCTACCTGTGAAAATCCTGTCAGGTCCATGAGGGCGGTGTTGTTGCATTCTGGCACGACCAGGGCGCACTGGGCATTGCTTGCCCCATGATGGCACAAACATCTAGGCATTCTAACTTCTAATTTCGAAGTGCCTCCATTGCCTAGCCAGCCGGACTTTTCAATCCTGAGCAGCACCCGTGAAAAGACGGACGTCTCCTGCCTGCGTGCATGCTGTGGCGCTGACGAGATACATGAACATGTCTAGAGAACAAACGGGCACCAAAGCACGAAGCCCGGGAGTGCAGAGCGAGAAGACCGCCAGCGGGTTCCTGCGGCGACGGCGCCGAGGATGTTGTAATTGTTTCTGTTGCGCCGGGGTTGAGTGTTGTACAAAAACAGATTCAACTTATTGCATATATGTTCCCCGGACTGACAGCCCATGAATGTTACAGAGGAATGACAGTGTAAGCTTTGTTGAACGGCTCTGACACCAAAGCAGCCCTCAGCGACTTGGTGGCACAATGTAGCAGCCCGGAGGTAATCTCTTTTCATGGCGACAGTAAATGTTGCGGACGGGTTGATTCTCCCGGATCAAAGCCCGCTCGTGCGAGGCTGTGTCGATGGGTAAACCATACTTGAGAGCGGTGTCCCTCACCTTTGCAACAAAGCTTGGAACATCGTGATCGTGTGTGTGTGTGTGTGTGCGTGCACTGCGTGCACTGAGGTAGTGTACTTGGAGACCTTGGACGACTCCGAGGCATCACACGTTCAAACACTGTGTTTGCTGTGCAATTGGAAATGCGTATGCTTTTGGGTTAAGAACCATAATAGGCATTTGTTGCTAGCAACATGAGATCTCTAACTACGTCCCGTGATGCTAAACGAAACACGGGGCACATCGAAGAGGCGCGTCAGCATGAAGCTTTGTGAGCATGTAACGTATGTGGCAGCTCATGGAAAACACCGTGGTTTCATGTCGAGATTGCGCATAGACAACACGTCGAGGATGAAGGACGACATGCCCCTGGTTATGGCGTGGTTTCCGCGCCGCCCCTGCCTAAACCAACAGAGGATTGCAGACAACACCATTGCATGTTTGGCTTTGCACGTTGTGTTGTTTTCCTTTGAAGACAGCTGTTCTTTGATTTCGGATCGGGTCAGATAGTATCTACAGACTGAACCAACTCGGGAAAACCAGACCTAGAAGAACGCACCAAATACTTGCGATGAAGCAAAAGTCCTTCTAGTTAGTGCGTGGGAGTGCCGGTGCGAAGGGGCAATCAAGCAAAGCTTCTGACGTATTCCGCGACATTCCGCGAGCAGATCTGACGTTCCAGGACATCATCCCTTAGCAAACTCTAGACTATTATAAAGGCCAATTACCCTGAACATGAAGTTGTAAAGTCGGGTAGCCAGCAGGATCCCTGTGTCCCAAGTTAAACTTATTTAGTTGTTGGCCAACGATGTTCAGTTTTCGGAGGGATCTGCCTTGTGCATGAAAAGGCCACAACTTTGCTCAAAGCCTTTACTCCTGACTGTTTACTAGACCACAAAGCCTCACTAAGCTCTGTCTTCTGCTTTGTTGATGGCATAGTAAACTGAATCCATCCATCCGCCTCTTTATGTTGTTGCTTTCAATGGGGACCAAGTCGCGAAGCACGATTCTCTCTCCTACAACAGGTGCGCTTGAAGTGGGGACCGACAGATCTTCTGCGGTTCGGGGTGGATTTGTTCATGGCACATGCGCAGTATAATGGTTCCACATTGCCCAATGCGTGTCTGTCGTTTTGCTTCCAGTGCCTGTGCTGTTCGGTTCTACCTCAGATATAGCTGATATCAGTAATGCGGGGAACACTTACTACATACAACGAATTTCTCGAACATCTTAGGTCGTCAAAGTAGAAAGTTTGCACTCGACTACAAGAGACTCTGGAAGTGGGGGCGCCAGCAATGCCGACGCCGGCAGTTCTGACGGCAAAGGACGATGCTGTGCCCGACCGCGTTTGCAAGGCGGGGCATCCACGGACCTGGGATATCCGGAGACTTCGGGTGCCTGCACGGCTGAAAATGTTGGTTACATGCAGGCTCCAGGCCATGATATGCTCAGGGCAAGAAGCAGCCTGATTTTGTCCGTGTTTTCCGCTTCGCTCTTCGAGATTGTAAACTTTCAATCATCTGAAGTGCAGCAGACCAGGGATGATGATTTGGCTGGAAGAATTTAGATGTTCCGCATGTGTAAGAGCAGTGTCTGGACGCATTATAATCGAACCGATCTGCATCCATCTGGTAGTGGATGGACTTTGCCTGACAATCTCCAGAATGATAGCTAAATCACAGTCTCGTTTCGACGACTTCTGCATCGAAAAACATGGGAATGACGTGAGTAATTGAATGCTTCAGACACGAAGCTTTTAGGTTTTTGTAGCATGTGTTTCTCGCTGTTGGAGGTTCTGCTTTCGGTAACATTGCCTGTCGAATTGGAAGAGACAAAGAAGGTTCGGTGCAGGGCTACAAGAGCCGCCGTAAGTTTGCGAATAATCGTAAAACTTTATCCGCCGCACACCTGCAGGTCCTGGAGTTGCAGCACCAAGAGTTGATTCTATGGCTTGAATGGAAGGTTTTGGCAGACTCGGTTTCATTTTACAATGACTTGGCATGTTTTCGCAGGCCTGTCCGAGCAGATGCAGACTCAGGTTGTCACGCTTGGACGAGTGGCTGCAAAGAGTCAGCGACACAATCGGCAGGACACTTTTGCAGCTTGCATGCATGCTCATGCTGGGTGCACGTCCAAGGGCTGGGTCAGGCAATCTGTTTGAGTAGCTGCGGTATTGCGTGCTTGGACTGCTCTGATCTCCTCTTCCTTCTGTTCCGTCCGGATGGATGCTGTGCATGTGGCAGCTGCAAATTTTTCGGTCAGTCTCTCCATCGGGACACGGCGACATGTCGCGCACGAACTGTATTGCTGTCCAACGTGCTTTATTGCTGGTGGTTTGCATGCTCTTTATCATTGGTTCTCGTGTCTCAACGATAAACGACTGGCGGTTTCCACCTTCTTTTGCATACACAGGTTGTGCTCTCAGGTGCTGAGGCACTTGATTTTGCAGGAAAGTGACAATATACATTTCAGTGTCTGGACGCGTCAGATCACGCGGGGGAAACGGTCTTGAGGCATCTCTCCTGAAAGCAGCCGGTCTGACCTACCTACTCCGGCCTGTCAATTGCTTGGAATCTTTGCATGCTGTGCACAACGCTGTTGTTACTTGCCGATGGCTCGCGGCTACAGGCTTTATGGTTTTGCATTCGAAGGCCACTGCATGGCTGCATAAGGCAGGGTAGAGAGCAAACCAGCACCTGATAAGGCTTTGACAATGCCAGGACGGAGCCGGAGATGACGTTGCAAACGTCCAATAGATCCCAGCTTCGTTCCCCTGCCAGTGGTGAGCCGCTCCCGAAGCAGTGACTCAGAGCAACCGGTCCACGAGTGTGTTCTCAGAGGTATTCTCAACGGTTTCATCGGCGTTGTTGCAGTGGTCCCTCTGCGTTCTGTACGGCTTTCAGGCTTCCCCGGCAGCTAACACGGAGCAAGACCCTTAGAGTCAAGGAGGCAGGGTAAGATCTTCACTCGCGAGACATTCGTTCACACCGGTGCCCTCACGTAGGTAGGCGACGGAGAAGAAGGTTTGGACAGCTATGATCTGGCGCGGCACCAGGGCTCGAAGGTGGATATGTTCAAGAAAATGAAATCCGAGGAGGCAGAAGACTTTAGAGTCTGCGACAGGAGGGATCACATGTTCATCATGTTCATGGTTCATCAGGTGAGATAAGTCTTGCTTAACATTTGCTTAGAGACATCTTTTTGCTGTTAGCGCCTCAAGGATTCTGGGTCAGGGCTTTCCAGCCGCCGATGAGGCACGGGACTCCACAAACCTCGATAACATACGAAAACCCAGAGCCCAGAACCTGCAAAGGCTCCCGAATCTCTTACTGTACCAAAATTGTTTCGACCATGGAGGAGTCGGCGAGGGCACGGCACCGAGAAAGGCAAAGCAATTCCTCGCCCGGCTTTCTCACATCTAGGTCCCAGAAAAAATGCTTAGGGGCTTCGGGGTAAGCAATTCCTATCGATAGTTCCCGCATGAAGGCCTAAAGGCTGGAAGCAGAAACGCAGCAGTTGCAGGAATAACTATGCTCAGTGCCATGCGCTATTTTGAATGAAGCGTTCAATAAGCTTGGCTGATTGCATGTTGCATCTGTGAAGGCGAGCTTGGCCAAGTCCGAGGAGCCGACCACACAGTGCGGCATGGTGCGGAGCTGGTGTTCAAGGATTGTCAAGTCAACAGTATGCGAAATCTTCTTCGCCTTGATGATCGTCACCAACTCCGCTTACCTTGGCGTGCAGCTTGAATGGAGCTCGCAGAACAGAGACAGGACCGTGTCAAGGAGTTCTATACCTAAGGATAACAGATTTTGCTTTAAATTCCTGAAATGCTTCCTGGGCACGTCAGGACGGCTGAACAGCAAAATGTTTTTCTCGTTATAAACGTGGTCTATGCCGTCATTTTCCTCATTGAGGCTCGGTGCTCTCAGAAGTCTCATGCTCAGCTTAGCTTAATGTCTTGCCGAGTTGTGGTCCTGTCGGCATTCTGTCTTGCGTCATCGATGAAGGTGGTTAGTAGTTGTTTTCGGTGTGCTGTTTGTTGTTCTATGTTGTTCTATTTGTTGCCTTTTTCCTTCATCCTCTGGCTCACCAAATTTCCGAATGGAGTGGGGGGGGGGTGGGACGGACAAATCTGTTTGCCAGGTTTGCCTGCGCCTATTGGCTAGCGGGCCCAGAATCTACTTCCTGGCTCCTGGCTGGTCCTGGAATTGGCTGGATGTTTTCGTGGTGACTCTCGGATGCAGTCACGCCATGCTCCCATCTAAGTAAATAGCTTCGATGCATTGCCATTCCGACATGAGACACATTCGGTGTTGGCCGGGTTCATGCTGGGTGCTGAAGGTCACTAATCAATACTAATTAGTCCGTGTCTGAGTGTCAACGAGCCTTGCACAGGTGTGCTCAGTGAATTATGCACCCGGACTGTCGAAGTCAGAAATCTAGCAGCATAGCAAAGGAAGCAAAAGGTGTGAATGTTGAATAATTGCTTGAATGCTAGCTGCTGGCTCGCGTTAAAGTGTGCGTGAATCCTGGAAAGAATTCCACTCCCTCTCCTGAGGACGTCAACCTGGGTTGAGCTTGCCGTTGGCTTCGTCTCGGTTGATGGTAACGATGGTGGCTTGTCAAACAGCAACCTTCGGTTGCTGCGTGTGATCAAGGCGCGGATCTGACAATGACACTTTCCGGAGGGTATGAAACTTGCAAGTGCAACTTGGCGGCGTGTTCCTAAAGGTCACCAGACTGGCCCGTGTTCTTCGAGTTCTGCGCGTTGTGCAGTTTGTGCGACCATTGAGGACACTCATGCATTGCGCCTGGGTGTTTGCATGATTTAATCGTCATCCATTGGTCATGCAAGGTCATCTGTCAAAAGCTCTGTATCGTGGGTCTTGCTCAGGCCTGGTCGACACTACCAAATCCTTCGTCTGGTCACTGATGCTCCTGGGGTTACGTATAGCCTGGAGTAGGATAGCAGCTGCCCAGTTCAGTGCAGATGCAAGCCCCAGCTTGCGAGTGGGTCGGGCTGTTGATTGAAGTGATCGCTGATGCAAAAGGCTCAACACTTGCACAGATGTCTTCATTTCTGCCATTTCTGCCTCAAGTGGGTTGCAAAGGCTTTTGGTTCTCATGATGTACGTCTTCGGCCTGCTCTTCACAGACGCCGCCATTGACCACATGCGCATAATCGGAACTACGGATCCAGATATGGACAGGCTATTTGGAACTGTGCAGCTGAGTCTGATCAGCATTCCTGTTTTTTGAGCCGCCGCTTACTCGTCTGCGCACAAACTGGAAAGCGTCGTACTTCGCTCTCTTGTCAAAGGTGTGCTGCAGAAAGAAATCTTCAAATCTCCTTTCAGGACTTGTCTTGCAGCCGAATAAGAGTTGCGCGATCTGAACACGCTCTTACGAGGCTTTTTTCTTGCCAACGCGACCAAATGCCCAAAAATCGAGATTGAGCTTGATTATGCTGAGGCAAAGCGAGTACTCTTGAGATGTCTAGAGCGAACAGTTTTTCTGACTATTTCACGGGAAGATGTTCCATTCAGACAGCGGTCCATCAAGACAGTGATTTACTGCAATCGAGCATGCGTCCATAGACGAGGCTTGCCAGGCAACATGTCCTGCAGGATGTGTCTCTTCACGCAGCCATGCCGCTAGAAGGCTGCAAAGACATTCGTGAAAAGCTGTCCAAGCAGGCCCAGTCCATGAGACTAGGCATCTTGGACATTGCTAGGCTGGAGTGGTTTCGCAGGTTCCCAGGAAAGCCGAGGCGAGCACCCTGAACCGACCCGGAAATCACAGCCGACAGACCGGTGCTGCGATAAGACTGTAAGACGTCCAAGCCACTCGAAAACATGTTTCAGCAACTGGACCAGGTCGGTATGCACATCCTCCGAAGGGGCGTCACTTGTGTCTTTTTATGGGTCACTTTTGTCTTTTTTTTTTGTTCGGAAGCAACATTCTCGAACGAGAGGCCCTTGGGTGGGACCTGAAAAAACAGACCCTCGGCCCTCTCAAGTCGTCACCTCCAGATTGCAATCGGGGTTCAGACCCCTACTACACGTAGCCGACAGGGGGTATTTGAAGGGCACGGTTTCTGTATGTATCAGTCTCGTGAAATTGGTGCAGTATGTGGGGCGGGGTGCTTTCAGCGTTCCATCGAAAGTGCGACGAACGCCGCAGCATGCCATAGCCTTATATCACCCGGGCCAAAGCCCTAAAAGGAGTAAGCGCAGACAGAAACCGCATGAAAGAATGCCCAAACCCTAAAAGGAGAAAGCGGACCCCGAAAGCTGAAAAGAAGTAAGAATCAAAAAAACGCAAACCTAGGCCGAAGATCCCCCTCCACTAATAATGCCGAATCGCGGGGGGGTACCCCCCCCTTCGGCATTTATTTGTCGGCATTTCCGGCTTTGCACCTGGGGTCCCTCATGTGGCTAAAAGAAAATGCCGAAAACCGCTTGTCGTGCAGTTATCAATAAATGCCGAAAATAATGCCGAAAAGCGCTGAAAATGCAGATGTATCTGGCGAAGTAAATATTGAGCAAGAACGGTGTAATCTGGATTTGAAAACTAGCCTAAAAAAAGGGTTCATACTGCTGCTTATCCTGGAACCCGTCCAGAAAGAACATCAGGGGGAGAGAGAAAGCTGGTCATGTATCCGTTAGCAACCGCAGGGATCGACTTATGCAGGCATTTTGCCTCGAGTCGCTGCTCCGCTCTTGCCTGATTTCCGATTCGGATTTAGAAAACAGGGCTGCCTTTATCGTTGGCGGCACCCCGGCTACATCTGACTAAAGCTTCTCGGCACATCTCAGCACACATTTCAGCAAGCGCTTGCTTCTGCATGTGTAGTCATGACCGAGCGATGGATCCTGCGACAAACATCGACCCGCATGAGCGGGCCTTCTATGGGCAAGCCCATTTGTGGCCTGGCCGGCTTCAGCTAGTCTGCCCAGTTGCCTGACAACCCCCCCCCCTCCATATCCCAGTCCCCGGGAAAAAAAATCCTTCAAAACATCAGCCGAGATTCCTGGGAGCGGGGCTTCGATCGCTTCCGGTCGCACAAGAAAGCTGCGGAGTGGGCTGCGAAACAGGGGGTTGAGGCCTGTTGTTCCGGTGTCCAGCACAACCGTCACGAACCTGGGTTGTCCCGATTGGCAGGCTCCGCCGACTGAGAAAGAATGGATGGCGGCCCGGTTCCTGGGATCGTTAAGCATTGCACTTGCTAATGCATGGCTGCTCTGAGGCTGAAGCATCGAGGAGTCGATCTGCACCCGAGCGAGTGGCTGGGGGGCGTGGTGGTTTGAGGAATTCTTACTTCTGCTTGGCTTAGGCCAGAGCTGGTGTCGCTGGGGATGCCGGCTGGTAGGGCAGGGGTTGGGGGGATGGAGGGTTTGAGCCCTAGCCCGCACTGAAAGCTGAACATTGGTGTCAGAGTGCATGATCCGACAGCCGGCACATGTGGACCAAGGGGCAGGAAAGGCACCCACGACTGTGATCAGCAGTACGAATCCACACTGTGACAAAGTGGCCTAGGTTGAGTTTCAATACGAAGCCAAATGAGTTTCAATACGAAGCCAAACTGTGAGATCATTGCCTGTCGATCATGGGCCGGCTTTGACTTGGTTTGCTCGTGGCCTTTACCTGGCTAATATTGGGCGAAGATCCAGCTTGGTTTTTCTGGCCGGGACTGAACATCGCCTGGCTGTTCTGGATGGAGCCCGCCCTCGTGAACGAGCATGGCGAGTACGAGGTGGGTCTGACTCGGGACAACGAGATGCAGTGCTACATGAGTGTGGATCCCAAGACAACGGTGCAGGAGTTGCTCAAGCAAGGCCTGGCTCGGACGTGCGATGGCAGCGTTTACAGAGCCATTGCACTCACGATTCACATGGAGACCCGTGCCGAGCATGAGACGGATGGCTTGGTGCCAGACGATGGCGAGGAGAAGAACGATGGCGGCAAGAAAGACGATGACGAGGATGCCAGCGAGAAAGACGACGACAAGACAAAGGACACGAGAGGACCTCGACATAGCCTCCAAAATCGCCGTCGGAGGTCTCAAAGCAAGCAAGATGATTCATGCCCTCCTGGCGAGCTTTCTGGAATCCCAGGCCAAACGAGCACGGGGAGCTGAGTGCCGTCCCGGCACTGGGAAGTTCATGAACGAGGAGTTGCTTCGTGAGATATGCTTCCAGCTCGGCTCCCGGTCTGCTGCAAAGACCATCTTGAAGGTGTTCGGTGTGGCAACGCCGGACTCTCCTGCGATCGACTTCCGACTACCCCTGGTCCCGTGGCCATTCCTGTCAGAGGTCGGCTTGCAGCACCTGGCAGCGGAGAAGACTCGCTCGTTCTTCATCAGCATTGACGAGACCTGCTTTCATGCCACATGGTCCCTTGTGGCCGGCTTAGTTCCAGGACAGCAGGAGGTTGTGATCGGTGGATACCACAATGACGACGAGAGCTTCGCATGGCTCCCGGATGCAGGCTCTTTGCCACGCAGCACGTTGGCTCGAATGAGCCTTCACTATGTCTTGTCCCGATCGGACACTTTCCAGCAGACGTTCGACATGAACCGCATCCCCATGCAGCCCCAGGCCTCGGACAAGCCCAAAAAACAGCTGGAAATCCTCGGCATGCTGTTCTCCGCCTTCACAGATGCGAATGATGGACGGCCACCTCTAGGTGCATCCTACGATGGCGGAGGTTGCAACCTCCTTACTTCCCACCAGACTTTCCTGGCGATGCGGCCAGCCAGCGAGCTGACCGAGGTCGCCTTCTCCTCCGATTGCAAAGTCCTTCGCGAGGCCGGCGTTCGATTTTTTCCGTACGGAATTCTCACGTTTGCAAGTTTGTTCATGGGCAGCCTCCTCACTCTCGTGACCTTGGGGGGCGACAGACTGTCGCCTGAATCCCGCATGTATCATGGGCTGCTGGGGTACTACTTGCTGCTGCTCAACCTGCGCAGTGCCAAACTGCTGCATGGAAAGGCATGGCAGACCATTCTCTTCCCCTCGCCACGGTGAGGCTTGCGCTCCAAATGCTCGCACACGTAGTTCTACTGGCAAGGCACGGGGCACCCGGAGCTTGCGGCGGAGGACAGCCTCCGCGAAGCCAAACAACTCCTGCAGAACCTGGCGGTGGACCTGGACATCAGCGAGGCCTTCGTGCCCGGCATCCGTCGGGGATATGCGCTACTACCAGTGCCAGATCGCCCCGGGGAGTCCTCCGATGACAGACGCAAGCGAGTGCAAGCAGCTATCAGCCGAGTCAGAACAGCGGCGGTCGAGGTGGGGCACAAACCCACGGGGGAACCAACGCTAGCCTGGATCGCCATCTCCCAAAGCCCAGAGCGTCGGCGCAGAGCAAGATTGGCGGGGAAAGTCAAGCGATTGTGGCTGAGCCAAGGGGGGGGACATGGCCGCTTGGAGGTGGCGTTTGGTACCGGGAGCACATGGGTCAACAACGTCAAGATCAGCTCCGCTACCACAGCAAGACCACCGACAGCAGAGGAAGCCGGGGCAGGGTGGGTGGATATTGCTGCTATCGCTCGCCAATTGGGGCGCAACGAACAAGAGCTGCGGAGGGCGTGGGAGCCCCTGGCTGCAGAGCTTCGCTGAACCGGCACCGACGAGTTTCACCCCCACCCAGACCGTGAAGCGGTGAAAGGGGGGAAGAGATACACTGTCACAGAATTCGACGTCATCTCCTGGAACGTCGGGGGGCTTACGGCCGAAAACGCGCTGGAAGTTCTTGAGTCTTTCCGGGGGGACCCGCAGATGCAAAACATTGAGCTGGTTTTCTTGCAAGAAGTTATCCTCAGACCTGGGACCCTGCATAGGGAAAGCGGCAACTGGAGCATGGTGGCCAGCAAACAAGCAACTGAATGGAGAGGAGTTGGGGTTGCACACAAGCAGACCCTGGGGGGACACCGCAACACGCACAGCCTCACCGGGGGGATCACCACTACCCTTCTCCTCAAAAGGGGGACAAAAATCAGATGCCTTTCTGGACACATCCCACACCACGCTACAATCCCTGAAACCAACGACATTCTCACAGGATGGGGGGCACACCTTGGTAGCGACAGACTGGTCATTGGCATGGACGCCAACGAGGTCTTCACTCAGCCTTTCACATCAGCCACAAACTCAAAAACCGGGCGGGGGGAATGTATCCTTCAATGGGCGAGCGAACACAACATTACCTTCCCGTTGCAAGACATCACAACCCCGACACACCACCCCTACAATACCCGACTCACAGCAAGACGCCTCGACTACGTGGCCTGTCGCAGTACCTCGCACAAACAGGGGGGTGTGGTTGCTTGCAGACATAGAGCAGCTACTGACCACGATGGGGTCAAACTCACCCTTCAGCTCAACCTGGCAAAAGACCGCGACACCCCCGAAACCTCCTCCTGGGGACCTCGAAGACTCAAAGCAGAGGGAGCGGTGGAACACACACTCAGTCGACCACCCCCCAGGGCACAAGATCCTCACCTCAGCATTGCCAACATGGCAAAAGCAATCACAACACCTGGCAAAACAACCCTCAAGTACCGCGAAAGCCCCGAGCTCAAGCAACTACGCCGCAACGCCCACCAGCTGCAGGGGGGAGAAGCAAGACAGGCATGGAAGCAGGTTAAAAAGCTCAAGGAGCAAGAGCACAAGCAGTGGCTTCGACAGAAAGCGGAGGAGGCATCGTGTCTCAGCTGGGGGGCCTTTCGTAGCCTCCAACACCACAAGCAACGCAAGCAGGGTTGGCAGTTGCCCCTCACCGACCCCCCTGACTGGGAGCATCAGTTGAGGGAGCACTTCCGGGGGATCTTCAACAAAGTACCAGCCCACGTGGTCCAGGAGGGGATGCAACACATTAGGAAGGCATTGGAGCGCCTGTGCAAACTCACACCCTGGCGGCCCTTCGAACCGGGGGAGCAACAGTGGGGGGACTGCAGACCAATCACCCTTAGCTCAACCATGCTTAAGCTCCTCGCTCAGCTGCTACTGGGGAGAGCCGGGACCAAGATCCAGCAAGGCGGGAAACTCCAATGGTCGCGGGCCGGGCGCCAGGGGATCGAACTCCTGGCGGTACTCCGCCGAGTGGTGTGAATGGCAAAGGACTGGGGGGTCGGAACGTGGATCGTCAAATTAGATATTCAGAAGGCGTTCGACTCCGTGAGCCAGATTAGCATGGCAAAGCTCATTGCACACACGGTTGGGGGACTCCCACCGGACCCCCAGGACAGTACCACGGGGGATCCAGGCACCCCACACCCCGTGATCAACCATGGGAAGCACGCCTCTGGACATCCCTGCTGGAGGCACGCTCCCTACACATTGCAACAGGGGGGGATCACATCACACACGTCACCCAAACAAATGGGGTCCGACAGGGATCCCCAGACTCGCCGGTGATGTTTGCAGCCCTTACAGCCCAGGCCCTTGAGGAAGCCGTATCCCAGACGGCACACATGTTGGGGGATGCTCGGGGCCCCCCTCCACCGCAGCAAGGGGGAGCGTACATGGATGACACATATCTATGGTCGCACGATGCCAAGCACCTTCAGGCCACGCTCAATGCACTCGAAAAACAGCTTGCAAAGCATGGGCTGGTTATCAACCCGAAGAAGACCGCAATCATCTATAGCAACAACGACTCTGGCGGGGGACGCTTCATGGTCGGGGGGAAACAGGTGCCTTGCCTTCCCTTTGGCAGCATCGTCCTCGGTTCTCCGCTTACATTCGGAGAAGCAGTCCCCGCGCTAGTGGCGGAAATGCAAAGACGGGGAAGGACAGCATTCCGACAACACAAAGACATCCTGGGGGCCAGAACGAACATCAGGGGGAGACTAAAGGCATACAACGCACTGGTGCGGAACTCAGCACTCTGGGGATGTGAAGCCTGGCCGGTGCATGACACGTTGCTCAAGCAAGCCAACCTCCTCCAGATGGACCACCTTCGGCAAATGCTGCACATCAACAGAAGACCGGGGGAGTGTTGGGCAGACTGGCACAAGCGGAGCCTGCGACAAGCTCGTGTCCAACTTCACAAACAGCAACACACCCGCTGGAGCAGCTACACCCTGGAACGCATCTGGACCTTCTGGGGCCACCTGAGCAGAGGGGGGATGAAGTCCGATCCATGATCACATGGAAAGACCTCTCCTGGTGGAGAACAGAACAAAGCAAAGGGAACAGGGGGGTTAAGCACAAGCAACGCTTCAACAGCAACCTGGACGTGGAGAGGTCCCTTTGCAGAACAGGCGGACAGCAATGGATTCAGCTTGCACAGGACAGAGACAGATGGCGGGGCCTCACAACGCAGTTCGTGGCACAACATGACATCCCATGGGCGACTGGCAGACAGACACAGCTACACAACCTCACCCCGACACAGACCAACACACCACCAGCTAGGCGGGAACGGGGGATGCTCCGCGAATGACAGTTCTCCTGGGAAGGCGTGACCCCCCCCCTCTTTTTTCCCTGGCACCGCACTCTCTGTTTTTCCCGAACCGCACATCTTGACCTACTACCCGAGCAGACTTCTTGAACTACCTCACATACCAGTACACATGCACATGACCTACTACCTGATCGCGAGAGAGCGAGAGACATATCACTTCATGGGGGATTCCGTTGCTGCATGCCAAGGGTTTGATTCATGTCTTCCATGTGCACAGCTGCAAGTGAGCAATCCTGCCGGCCCCGCAGCTTTTGCTTCCCGAAGAGGCAAGCAGACAGCTGCCATGAACAAGGCGGCAAAGACAGTGGACTCAGAAGCTGCTCCTCCCACAGGGGAGGACAAGCCTGGCGACCAAGTCCCCGACGCCACCAGAAAAGGGGGGAGCGCAGGAACTCTTCAAGAGGGCACCGCTACGGGAGGGGAGCCCTCTCCTTCCCGTGCAGTGGCCGAAGCGAACTCCACCAACGCAGCGGGGGAGGATGCAGCAATCAGTGCCAGTGCGGGGGAAGACTCCTCGACATCCTCCAGTCCTCCCGAAGACAACCCCATCAGGGGGACGAGCAGTCAAAAGCAGATTGTGAGAAGGATGGTCAGGGGGATCTATGAACGCCCCTGGCACGCTGATGACCTCCTCTGGAACCTCTCGCAGAACCGCCTCACCTCCATGGCTACGGCGAGAGTGGGGGATAAACTCAGAGCCTTGGGGGGACAGAAAAGAGAAGACATCGCCGACGCGCTGTTCAACAATGCGTATAGCGCATTGATGACAGTCGGCACGCTCAGCGGGGGAACGCACCTCCAGATGGCCTATGACCAGCTGCGTGAAGATCCGCTCCTGGCCTTCGAAATGTGGGCAGCGTGCAAGGTGCGCTGGCAAGAAAAGCTGGGGATACCCGCAGCTACGGTTGCCAAAATTCTGGCCTCGAAGCCCGCCATCTCCCTTCCGGGGGGAACAGATGAGGGGACAGAGCAGAAGGCGACTGAAGTGCAGGCGGAGACCCAGGACAGCAAAGTGGAAACAACGCCTCCCCCACAGGGGGAAGACAATGCCGAGAACCCCGATGTGGGGGTACCGAGATTGCCGTCAAGGAGGAGATCGACTGGGACGCAAGAGACGACGAGACGGCAATACACCATTTCTTGACGAAGATGCCCAGCACCCTGGGGGATGGCAAGACATCCCAGGCCCGGAGGGGACAAGGCAGCCAGTCACTCCAGAACTTCTCGTCGACCTGGACGATGGTCTGGGGGACCAGCAACCCTCCGCAGACGACATCGTGGAGGGGGTCAAGCACACGTGGCTCAGCGCAGCTACCTTCGCAACGATCTTCCACAACATGACCGTGGCGGATATCAGGAAAGAATGGGGGATGCCCGCTTCCCCCAGTACTTCGGAAGCCTCGAGCCATGAGAAAAAGGAGCAAGGGGAGTCGTCGGGAAGCGCCCCTGGAGCAAGCGCGGGGGGCGAGCCACCACTAGACCAGGACGAGCTTGTGAAACAGGTGATGGACGAGCTCAAGCAAAGCGGGGGGGCTCCGGTGCAACCAAGCGGGGGAGTTCAAGCAGACCGAGAGGAGGAGCTCATCGACATCGAGATCGACAGTGGTGCTGCGACCATCAGACCCGCATCACACCTGGCAAAGAAGGCGGGGGAACAGCTAGGCCAGCAACTTCGACGGCAAGAAGAAGAACGTCGCCGCACTTTACGGGTGGGAGGGCTCACCGTCAAGCTTCCTCCCTCCAAAATGGGCTCACGGCCAAAGTCAAGCGGGTTTCCCAGACATTGGGGGGACCGCAACCGCAGGAGACCTTGGTGGCGAGGATGAAGAGAGTCGCTGCATTCATGGACGTGGGGGAAGAGAACCAACGCCAGCCGGGGGAGAGAAGAGCACACCGAGCACGGGGACACAAAAGAGAGCGACCCCCACTCCGTCGCCGGCGACATCTGAGTGCCCGCTGAGACTGAACGTAGCAGCTGAAAAGGGGGACCTACAGCCCGGAGCCTCCGTAGTCTGGTTTTGCTTGCACAGTACATGCCTTGCTCTCAAGGATACCCTGAACTCTAGGGATACCCGCACTTTTTGCTTGAGCCGTCATGGGGAGCTGTCCTTGGCAGTCCCTCCAAATAGGGGGGATTCCAGTCAACCTAAGTCCCGCTGTATAGAGGGGATCTACTGAAAGCAACCAGCCTGACCGACCACTGTGACCAATGTTGTTAACTTAACATAAAACCTGCTGCTTGGGGGAGTCATCGGCCAGAACCAAAGGTTGCAAGTCCTTTCACACCGAGCTGGGGACAGCTAATACAGCTTACCTCAGAGGACCTGGAACACGGCTGCGCGCAGCGCGTGGGGGGG